GTAAGTGATGAACGAGGAAAAGGGCGAAGAAATGAAGTGTTGAGGTAATTAACTTTAAAAAGATTTTTTAATTAAAAATTATTATTTTCTAAACTTGAATTGATGTCCAGGATCTAAAAATATAAGCGACCAACGCCAAAAAAGCATATCCACAGGCCCAGGGGGCTTGCAAGAGGCTGCCGACTATAGAGCGATATTGTACTCCTATTTTTGATTTTTGAAAAAAGATTTTTTTTCAATTTAATTTACCAGTAATTTCCATACAATAAACATAAGCTTTAAAATTTATTTATTCAAAATATTTTTTTTAAAAAAATTAATTAACTACCAGCCAAATCAGCAGCTTCATTGCACGCAGCTAATAAAAACCTTACAACTAAAAATACTTCAAATTCTCTCGAGAACGATAAAAGAAATCCAAAAATTGTTGATAAAATAGCAAAACCATAAATTGCAGGTTTGCGTCCATAACGATCATGAAAAGGAGAGGGAGAAAGTTTTATTTTTAATATTTCCGGAAAAAATAAAGTATAATTTATTTTTACACAATTCCGGAATGTACCTACTAGATTGTAATTGTTTCCGGAAAATAATAAATTGTAAATAATTATTCCGGAGAAGTATATGTAGTTGTAATTAGATTCTTTTCCGGAAAATAAAATATATTATTAAATGATAGGCTATTTTTACAATCCTTCCGGAAAGATAAATTAATTTACAATTCCGGAAAAGAATAAATTGTAAATAATTTTTACAAATACTCAGAAAAATATATTTTGTAAAATAAAACATTCCGGAAAAAACAATACAGAAAAGAGGATAAACAAAATACGTCCAAAATACTATAGAACTATAATAATATGTAATTACCGAAATATAGCCGCCCATCATACACCCAACTAAATATCCAAGCGAATAGGAAAGGTGAACGTGTGCTTAATTTAAAATTTTGAGGAAATTAAAAATAATTAAACACCTCTACTCCAATTATCGTCACAGACCCGGTCCCACTGAGTTACTACAGAATCGGACATAATATTTCTGTCATATTCCCATTGTTTACAACGTTGAATCTTTTAATTTAAAAAATTTCAGTCAAATAATTTTCTTTTAATTTTACTAAATAAGGGGGCCGTTCTCTAGCCAAAAGTATAGCTTCGGTAAAATTCATCGCCAAATATTCACGTAGCTGGGCCTCAGAAATTGTGTAAACAGCACACTGGTCATGTTTTGTACGCCTATTACGAACCTTTGAGAGGAAAATTGTAAAAAGAATAAATGAATCTATTCTAATAATTTCTTGTTCCCACTGAGCATTCTGTGCATTTAAATGCACTTTTTTGTGGCTCCGAAGGAGCCAAAAAATCTATTTTTTGCGCCGCAGGCGAAAATTTTTTGAAATTTGGAGCCCAAGAAGCTAGATTTCTTCCTTTTTCAGCGCCGCAGGTGAAAATTTTGAGAATTTCGAAGGCCGTAGGCCAAAAAAATTCACTTTTTTGCCCAATGTCTTCCCAAATTTCATTTTCAATCCAAAATGTTGATTTAAAAGTAGAATACTTTTAAAAAAGTATAAATGAGAGCCCTGCTCTAAACTATAGCCTCGTTTACCTGTGGAAAAGCTATTCCAGCATCCAAAGCCTTCTCCCAACTCCAACCAGGCCCAATTTTATTTTCTGGATTTTCAATATATTCTCTCGAAAAACTCGGTAACTAAATATAGTAATTATTAAATACAGTTGGAGATTACTTAAACAGAGCCTCACTTGGACATTTTTTGTGTTTTATAATGAGAACTAGCGTCTGGGGCGTTGCCACTTAATGGAGCGAAACTGCTGTCTCTAGCGTTTTAGGTATTGAGTTGAATTACATTGGAAAATTTGAAAAAATCGGAATTTTTAACCTAAAAACTCGAATATCTCTTCTCAGACTCAAGTGACACCTTTGAAAATATTTTAGTTAAATGCGTCACTTTATTCCGCATCGAATGACACCTCAACCATCTTTGTACGACTAATACGTAAAAAGTTATAAATAGGGAGTGGCAAAATATGCACGGAAAATCCCAAAATATGTGCATATATATGCACCGATTTTTGTGTTTTATAATGAGAATACTGGGGATAGATCAGGAGTGTAGCCGGTTTTGCCTTTCATCTTTTAAGCTCTCCCCCTGGATTATATTGCTTCGAAAACTCTCCATCGCCCGTATCCTAAATCGAGGTTTTCTAGTATTGAGTGTATCTCATAGTGAGGTTCTTCTAAAAAATAATTTTATTTAAATCTCTCAACTTTACACCAATGATCTGGCAAATAAGTAAAATACACAACAGAAAGGTTAAACATTGCATGAGGCATTTGATGAGCAGAAATAATTAAATATATTAGAATTTGCCATGTCGAACACCCACCAATTATTTTGAGAATTCCTAGATATTACTGAAATATTTTCTTGACTTTTTTAAATATTTTTGTCTGTTTGACATTTTTAGATATTTTACGGTAATTGACGTTTTGAAACATTTTACCCAATTTTACATTTTGAAATGTTTCCCAAAAGTTTACATTTTGAAATAATTTCCCGTTATTAATTATTTTCAAATATTCCCCGCACTTTTACATTTTCAAGTCCCCCTCCCTACCTTCAAAGTCAATATCAGTCAACGGTTTTTTACTCCTCGATTTTTCTTTTTGATCTTTATAGACATTTTGCATTTTATAATGATGTGCATTAACTTCTAATTCGCTTTGATTTCTAAGTCTTCCACCTTTTCTACTAGATTGCCCACTACTTTTCCCTCTAGGTCTAAATAATTCTTCCCCTTCTCCTTCCCCACAACCAATTCCTTCATCTGTCGAAGCTGTTCTGCTAGCCAAAGCTTTTTCTTCTTGTTTACTATTTATTTCATTAGAAGGGCCCGGAACTTCTTCTAAATTATCTGCAATCATTTCTGCATAAAGAATTCCAGAATGTTCAACACCTCCACTCAAATTTGGGTCTGACTAAAGAAAATTTATTCTTTTAGGGGGAATCTCTTTAAATAAACCAAAGTTGGAGATACAAGCTTTGCTGTTTCCGCCCCAATTTCCACCGTCCGAAGGTCAAATTCACTCTGAATTTGGGGCATGCTTTTCAAAAAATATTTCTAAAGCACCTGAACATATAATGGTTGCAATACCACTTCTGGAATTGTTTCCAGTTGATGATCATTATTAACGGGATAGGTGTCTAAATTATCTAGATGAACTACTATTGTTTCATCATTGGGTATTTCTGCTTGAATCATTCACTGGAAAATGTTTTTGGAGTATAATTTTACAATTAAAAAATTCACAAGTTAAATTGAAATTCTGATTTGTACTTCTGAAAATTAAGTGTATGTATTATGTGTAATTTTAATTTAAATTCTGATTTTTGATTCTACCTATTTAAATTATGGCTTTCTAATTGTAATTTAAAAATTGTGATTTGTAATTCTGAATATTAATTTCAATAGAAATAAGGGTTAGTAGTTCTGGTTTTTTAATTGTGGGTTAATATTTACAATTTGTGATTCTAGTTTTTATTGAAATTCTGGTTTTAAAAAATTCTGATTTGTAATTCTGGTTTTTAATTAGAATTTAAAATTAAAATACCAATTTCTGGTAGAAAAAACCTACACAAATCAATCAAAAGAAAAATTTAAAAGAAAAAAGTTTCAATAATTAAGAACACATTTGAAGAGAAAAGAGAGTAAATGTTTATAACCAATTATTTTTAGCCCTATTAATGTTTTTTTACTTTTCTCTTCTAAACCTCTTTTATTTATTAAAAAAGCATTTGGCTTTGATTACCCCAATATTTTTTAAAATATTTTTTTTTTATCAGTTCTTCTCGAGAATTGTATAGCCGTTGGAAATCGATTAATTAAAATTTCTCTTGTCCCAAATATTTTTTAGACACAAAGGAAAGTTTAATATAAAATTGATTTTAAAGTGTAAACATTGTGTCATTTTTGTTAATTAATTAGGGGGGGGGGGCTACTTATTTCAATTAACAATTATTTCATAAAAAAAATTGTATTTTCTAACAAAAAGATTTTTATTTAATTAAAAATTAAATTAATTTTGAAAAAAATATTTCAACAAAAAAGGAAAATTAAAATAAGTTACTAGTGAATTCGTACCCATGCTTGTATATCACCCCTATTTTTGTCCTCGTACTTTCTAAAATTTCTACTTTTGTCCGTGCTTAAGGGTACTACTAATTCTGTCCGAGTACGAATTTCGGTACGAGGTTCGAGCACCGCCGAAAACCTGACCTACCCCGCTAGTAACATATAACAGAGAAATGTTTAAAATGTTGAGGAACTTGTTTATTTTTAACAATAGAAGCAGAAAATATGAAAAGCTTCTTCTTTCAGTACTAGTATGGAGGTGTAATTGGACGTTGCTGTATGAGATAGTGGTACTAATTTAGTTTCCCCCCCCCCCAGCCAGTTTTTTCGAAAATTATGTAAAAATGGTCAGTCTGAACAACAATTGTAGAACCCATCGAGCTGTGTCGAATGACACCAAAATCAACAAAATCCGACTTGATTTGACCGAAATACAGACCCCTGAAAATTGAACAACAATGGGGTGATTTTTCGAAATAAAAAAAAGTTTACCCAAATGATAGCTCATTCGAAAGCACTCGTCGAGCTGAGTCGAATGACACCAAAATCAACGAAATCGGACAAGATTTGACAAAGTTATGACATTATTTAGACCTACCGGAGTCGACGACTTATGTCATAACTTTGTCAAATCAAGTCGGATTTCGTTGATTTTGGTCTCATTCGACTCAGCTCGACGAGCTCTTTCGAATGAGCTATCATTTGTATAGATTTTCGTCTTTATGATTTTGTGCCCCTGTGGTTTAGGGGTCTGTATTTCGGTCAAATCAAGTCGGATTTTGTTGATTTTGGTGTCATTCGACACAGCTCGATGGGTTCTACAATTGTTGTTCAGACTGACCATTTTTACATAATTTTCGAAAAAACTGGCTGGGGGGGGGAAACTAAATAAGTACCGAGATAGTTTGGTTGTTCTTGAATAGTATCAATACTTTTATTTAATTTTTTCGGATCAGCCCTGACAAACGTTTGTAATTCATCGTTGACCACCCATTGATCATTTTGCATTCTCGAAATTATTGGAATATGTTGTGATGATTGATCCAATTTTATGGGAGGAATGAACCCTGAGATTTGCTAATTAAGAATATTTAGTAAATTATGATAACCTAAATTATTTAGATGAAGTGACCACTTCCGGTATGGAATTGATTCTATAAAATTAAAAAATAATAATAAGAGAACCAAAGATTGTGCTAACACACCCACTAATTCTTTATATCTTGAAAAAGCTATTATTTGTTTGGTTCTCATTCCAATAGTGGATTTATTCGGTTCCTGTAAATAATTGTGATGAAAAATACTTGCATTGCTAAGTATTTGACGAATATGATGCATGTCGTTGTAGTTAAGAATGTCAAATACGATAAGCCTAAATATGTATTTTCGTAGCGATTAGAACAGAAAAGAGCAAAAACGCAACCAATATTTAATCGGTTCTAAAGCTAGAATCCTAGGCTTACTGTGATCGCGAACATAAACGTTTGTAATCCGTTGTTTCATTTCTTTCCTCCGCAAAGTATTGTCTAAGTACCCTCATACCATAAATATTGACATGAATAACCAAACCAGCTTCCTTTTGTTCAGAATTATCCATAAACTAATTTTAAAGGATTTTTAAAAAAGAAAATAAAAAATAAAACCTCTATATGGATAACATGTTTAATAGAAAGTTTCCTGTGCCCATGATCACCGGGTAACATTAAAAATTCGCTTGATAATTCAATATCGGTATTCTTTTTACCAACAATTTTGCATGAAAAACCATTTGATATTAGGAGAAATGAACTTTTTATTTTTATTTTATTCACATTATTAAATAGTATATCCATAGCGCTATGTAAATTTAATCAAAACTTAACCAACTCAAACTTAACTAAACAAAACTTGATTAAAAACGAAACAAATTTAAATACAAAACATCAATATATTATAATTGGGTGTGTGTGAGTAGGAGAATAGGAATTGCCCTAGATGATAATTTTAGAATTGTTGGGTTTGTCTGTCCGTCTCTTGGAGTTATGCAATTTTTTGGCGACGTTTCTCTCCAAAAGTTTTTAGAAACAAATTAATAAAAACAATTGATTTTAAAGGGAAACATAGTAAAGGAGGCAAAAGTTTAGCCACAAACAGGCATCGATCCTTTCTGACAGTTATTGCTAGGTGTTTTCGCTCACAACGCATAAATGCTATACTGACTGAACTATAGGGGCGCTGCTTTCACCTTCTCCTTTAACAAATCTTAAACCCCAGACTAGTAAGCATTTTAAATGCTAGCCAGCTAGATCCTTCAGCTTCCTTACAATATTTTGTTATTTTCTGTTAATTAAAAAAATGCTTATTTTACTTAAATTTCGGAAAAAATTTATTTTCTGTTAAAATCTTTTATCTATAATTTAAAATTTAATTAAAAAATAAATATTTCAAAAAAAAATTTTTTTTAATTCTCTATCAGAAAGAGATAAAAACACAATCATTTATAAATCCAATATTTTTCAGTATCATGTTTACTTTCACCAATAGGAGCATTTCAGCTTTTAGTACAATTAATTATGGAGGTTTAAGTGGATGTGGTCACCCATATTTTATGAGAATAAGACCTGAAATTTGCCAATTAAAAATATTTAGTAATTTATAAAAACCTGGATTAGCCAGCATACTTACAAGTACCGACCATTGGTTGTGGGAAATTAATTCTTAAATTAAAAAAAATAAGAAAACAAACAAAAATTGTAACTAACACGTACCCACAAACTGAACTGGATTGGTAGGATTGGATCCCAATTGAGATTTTTTATTTTGTTTTTTCGTTTGCTGTGCAATATAATTGTGTCGAGAAATGCTTGCGAGAATTAAACGAATATTATGCATTTCCTCGTGACCACAATTAAGAATGTCAAATACGATAAGCCTAAATATTGAAGTTCATAAGGATTCGAATAAAATAAAGCAGAATGTAAAAATAGGCCCTACTTGGAAGAAAGATTTTTCCTTACTTCATTGCAAAGCTCAAAACGGTCAATTTTCCTTAGTATTAGGTGCTTGTTGATTTTCGCCGTAAGAAGGAATGATTCAGAAAAGAATTAACTTTTTTCATTTACGAAGCGCGAATTCGATATTTCCGGGTTCGAGACCTATAGCCATTGGATCTGGGTGAGTACTTAACTCTATTCATTATCAGCAAAAATTTTTGTTCTTCAAAATTATGTGAAATTTGATTAAAAGATCTTACGGAGGAAATCAACAAACATTAAGTGCTAAAAGAAAAAAGGACTATTTCGAGTTAATGCAAGGAACTAAGGAAAAATAAATGGGATTGGGCACCTTCTTTCAGATAGTGTCCAAAAACATAATCTACCGAATTTATCCTGATAGAACTACTGTCTCTATTAGACCACCCCAAATGGAGAGGTTGAAAATAGAGACCGGACCGAATCGATATATCGAAAAAAATATCGATGTCGATATTATCGATCGATCACTCAAGTCCGGTCTCTAGTTGAAATTAGAGGTCGGCGCGGGACGGGATCCCGCGCGGGATTTTGCGGGATCCCGTCCCGCAATCCCGCACTTTTTTCGATTTGCGGGATTTTGCGGGATTTATCCCGCGGGATCCCGTCCCGCAAAGATTTTTAAAAAATTTTATCCCGCGGGATCCCGCAAAATATTTTGAATTTTGCGGGATTTTTGGAAAATAGAGGATTTTGGCTCCTAACCTTCTAAATTAAAAAATTTTCGCCTGCGGCGCTAGAAAAAGGAGAATTTTGACTCGCTGGCCTTCTAAAATCTCGAAATTTTTGCCTGCGGCGCTGAAAAATTTAGGAAATTGGATACTTGGCCTTCCAAAATTTTCGCCTGCCGCACATGAAATCATCTCTATTTCATCAAAACAAAATTGCCCAAATTGTTTTATCACGATGATTGATCCCATTTGTTTCAGCTCAAGCTATTTTTTGTTTCGGCTCAAGCTCAATTCCGACGAATATGTATGAGCTTGCCCCTTATGATTTTTTGATAATTGGGGACCTGGGATAAGTGATTATATCTTTGTACCAACTTATACTCGTAAATTGGTATGTTGTACAATACGTGTACGAGCAACGAGTACGAGTAAGGAACCCGTTAATGATTAGGAAATCGATTTTTTCAATAGATATTGATATTTTAACGATTTTTTGAAAATCCCGCAATCCCGCGCGGGATCCCGCAAATTTAAAATGCGGGATTTTGCGGGAATGCGGGATTTATCCCGCGGGATCCCGTCCCGCAAAGATTTTTAAAAAAATTTTATCCCGCGGGATCCCGCAAATGCGATTTTGCCGACCTCTAGTTGAAATATAAATAAACTTATCGACCTGCTGTTGATCGGTAGACAATAGAACCACTAGTGTTTCTATTAGAATAAATCCGATAAATATTTAATCAATTCTAAAGAAATTCTAGGCTTACTTATTTTGTGAATATGAAGACTTGTAATCCATCAATTTATTACTTCCCGGCACCAAGTATTGTTGAAGTTTTCTCATCATATAATTATTTACATGAAGAACCAAACCAGCTCCTTTCTGTTCAGAATTATCCAGCAACTAATTTTAAAGAATTTAAAAAAAATAAGGAAAAATAAAAAACCTCCACTTTGATGACATTTTTGAAAGAAAGTGAACCCAGAATGGTTTCTTTTCCAGTATCAACAGGTAACGTTAAAAATTCGGTAGACAATTCAATATCTTTATCAACAGCAATTTTGAATTCATAACCAGATAATTTAAGAAATGAACTTTTTATTTTTATTTTATCCATATTACCTAAATTGAGAATAAAAATACTTGTAGGCACAATAAAACAAAAAAATCCGAATTTAAATCAAATCACAGCAAATCCGTGTCGGTACAAAAGACAGATGCGCTAAAAGACCGGAACGGCTAAAAGGGGTTAAAAGACCGAATATTCTAGGTATTGATATTTAGAGTTAATCCCAATTAATTGGAGAGACTTCACATATAGATTTATAAAAAAAATTATTTTTATTAATTAAAAATTAATTTCGGGAAAAAAAAAAATAAAAATTAATTTGTATCAGAAAGAGCACATTTAAATAAATGTTCATGAAATTCTGAACGTGAAGCAAAATTTGTTTCAAAACATTTTGTACAGACAGAAGCAGACATTGTTGTTGATTCACAATTTGTTTTATTTAAAAAATCAAGTTTTGAATAAGAAGGAATAAAGGAACCAGAAGTGGGGAATTGCTCTTCCAAGTCTACCTATAATTAAATAAATATAAATTCTGATTTGTAATTGGAATTCAGAAATTTGTAATTCTGAAAATTAATTGTAATAAAAAATAAAGGCTTGTGATTCTGATTTTAAAAAATTCTGATTTTTACAATTTGTAATTACAATATATTTAGTTCTGATTCTGTTTTAATGCAAAAATTCTGATTTTTAATTTTAACACTGATTTTTACCTAAATTCTGATTGTAAAAATTTTACAATTTGTAATTATTTAAATCAGAATTAGCCCCTCCTTTACCTGAATTTCCAAAGGTTCTTTTTCTTCATCATTTTTCAAGTATTTATTATTACATAAATGACTAGTCCAATCACTTTTTTGACCAAATAGATGAGCACACATTCGACAAAAATAAGCATTTCCATCAGAATAGGTTTTAGGATTTTGTTGTTTTTCTTTTTCATTATTTTCGTTTCCAAACTTTGCTTCTTCCTTCCCTTCTTCATTTACTACTTCCATTCCTTCCTCCTCCCTTGCTTCATTTATATCTTCCTTCTCTTCCTCCCTCCTTTCTTCTTCCATTTCCTTTCCTCCCTCAACCCCAATATGTTCTTCTTCATTTCCTTCATCCTTTTCCACTTCCTTTTCGTTTCCCTCCTTTTCCACATCTTCTTCTGTCGTTGAAGTTGTCAATGAAGATAAAGATACTTTTCCCTGACACCAAAATGAATTTGTTTCAACAAAAATGCAATTAGTGTTATCCAAGCCAAACAAATTGTGGACAAAATTTCCGGCAATTTCTCTTAACATTTAATTAAAAAGTAAAGATAATTTAAATTCTGGACTTTATTTTATTTCAGCTTGAATTTAAACAGAAAATAAAATTTTCAAAGAAAAATTTTTTACTACTATATTTTTCTAACCAAGTTTGTAGGTCTACGTTTTCTATTTTCTATCTTAAATTTAAAAATTCTTATCTCATTCCCTCTTATTCGGTAAATTTTAAAGTTAGAGATCACTTGAACCAAATAAACTTCAATTTAAGATCCGGTCTTTTAAAAATTTTTTGGCTAGTGAGTGGTTGGAGCCACCCGAAACAAGATCCTAAAAAATTTGAAAATCCGACCCTAGAGCCTACACGATTTTTTCCCAACCCAACGCATCCCTGGTTAGCCTAAAAACAAACAATCTATTTTAGGCATAATTCCAAGGGTGTATCCAAAAATGTGGTTAAACCTTAAATAAAAAACTCATTACCGAAGCGTCTTTGGTTGCTTTAATTTATTAGAAACTAGTAAAAACAATTCTTTTTCCTTTTCATCGTTTTCCAAATATTTAATTCTTTGTGGATAGGGAATACGTTCCATAATTGCCAAAGCATCACGGCAACGACTTCGAAAACCCAAAGTAGCTGTATGAATAACTAGAAAGAAATTTTTTTAATCAGAAAAATTTTGAAAATTCGAATTTTTTAATTTCAAAAAATCAGAAGATTTCAAAAAAAAATTTAAAAAAATTCAGCATCATTTATAATATTTAAACAAAACCATTTTTATATTCATGTGCACGTCTCGTACATAAATGTCTCATAACTGGGCGTAACCTTCTCGAAGAAAATCCACATTTTGGGCAATTAAAAGGAGGCGAACGAGGCAAGATTTCTTTAGAAAAAATTATAATATTTAAATAAAATAATTAAAAATAAACTTTGTTGAGAAGAAAAAAGGAAAGCATTTTTCTTTAATTGAAGTGCCAAATAAATTGATAAATTGTTATGTTTAGTTGAAATATTTCGATGATTTTTTCTATTTGTGTGCCTAAATATTTAAATAGTAATTTAATTCTGATTAATAAAATAATTCTGATAAAATTCTGATTGTTTTAGAGGTTTCTTTTAGATTTTAATAAAATTCTGATTATTTTTTGAAGTAATTCTGATTATTTCAGAAGTAATTCTGGTTAAGTTCTGATTTTTTAGAATTATTCTGATTTAATTCTGATCATTTTAGGGGTGATTCTGATAAAATTCTGAATATTTCATAGGTAATTCTGACCAAATTCTGATTTTATTTTTAATAATTCTGATTTTATTTCTGGTCATTATTTACTAAATTCTGATTTATCCCCTTTAAATAAAAAATCGATCGCCTTAACAATTTCCCCACCTCTCTTCTAATCCATTAATAAATTGAGCGGCATAACGCTTAAAACCTATAGCCAAGAAGCAAAGCACTTTTTCTCTTTGTAAAGGAGTCAAATTTCGAAGCCATTCAAAAAGCTTTAACATTTGTTTTTGTTGAAGTTTTTGCTAAAAAATAAAGTTTAATTCTGAAAATATTCTGATTTTAAAAATGTTTTGAAACCAGAAAATTACAAATTGTAATTCTGATATTTAATTCTGGTATTTAAATAATTCTGGTATTATTTAATAATTCTGATCGAAATTGTAATTCTGATAAATTCTGGTATATACTGCTTAAAATAAAAATTACAAATTGTAATTCTGATGTAAAAATCACAATTGTAATTTTACTTACATTTGTATTCTGACAATTTGTTCCCAACTCAATGTTTTCTTCTTCTTCTACTTCTCCTCTTTTATTCTCCATTTTTATTTCTGCCCTAATTTTATTTACAAATGTTGAAGCAAGAGGAGGTCGGCGTGGAGGGAAAGGACGTGGAAAAACAAATCTTCAATTCGCTCAAGTTGCTGAATTTAGTTTAATTTCTTCTCAATTGCCTGATAATAGAGTAGAGTAATTTTAAATATTTAAAAGAAAATTACATATTTTTTAGAGCGCCCAAATTATCACTGGCTCTCACTTTAGTCAAATTTTCAGGCTTGGCTTTAAATTGAGGTTGTTTTTACAAATGTTTTAGAAGTTACAAAATAAAGTTTTACAATCTACAAATTGTAAAAAACAAGTTTTACAAATTAGAATAATTGTAATTTACAAATTGTAAAAGTTTTACAAAACTGAAAAAATAAACTTTTTTCTGAGTAGTTTTACAATTTACAAATTGTAAAAGAACAAGTTTTAAAAACCAGAATTGTAAAATGTTTTTTAAATTTCAGATTAATTTGTAAAGCTTATGGAGAACCCCGTCCAATGATTAAATGGTATAAAGAAGGTGCAGAAATGCAACCAAAACCAAATGTTCATTATTATGAAAAACCTTTAAGCAAAAATAAAATTTGGGTTTGTTTTTGTAAAGAATTATTTTTTTATTATTTTTTAGAGTAAATTGGAAATTGACCCAGCAACAATGGGTGACCAAGGAGTAAAAAATTAAAAATTGTTTTTTTAAAAAATCCCCTTTTTTAGATATATGCTTGTGTTGCTAATAATCAGTATGGGGTGATGGCAAAAAATTTTAAAGCTGAATATACTTATTGAAAATTTAAAATATTTTTTAAATCCATAATTTTAATACCCAACATTAAAAACCCGATAATTAAATATTCAAGTCCTTATAAATAAATAAAAAAGTAAAAAATTGTTTTTTAAAACTAAAAAGAATTATTTAAGAATTAATAATCCTCAATTTATCGCTTGTGTATGTAAAAAAGCAATTCCCACAAAATTGTAATTCGAGAAAAACTAATAAATAAAAAAGGAACACAATAAACACAATAGGTATGCATATAACTAAATATATTTACAATTGTAAAAAAAAGTTTTAATTTTTACAAATCAGAATAAAATAAACTTTGTAGTTTACAAATTGTAATTATTTTACAAAATAAAGAAACAAACTTTTTTCTGAAGCAAAATAAAGTTTTACAAATTGTAAAAAAAGTTTTACAAATCAGAATTATTTTTTAAAGAATTAAAACTTTTCAGAATTACCAAAAGAAAAACAGTTTTATATTTTTATTTAAAAATCAGAATAAAATAATAGGTACATTTTATAATGTAAAAGAGAGGGGTCAAGAAAGAGGAAAATAATTTTGTGTCAAGCACTATAATATTTATGTAAATTTATTTACCAGTCAAAAGGGACAATTTATCTATACAATCCAAGACTTTACAATTTTTATTTTTTGGAATAAAATGAGGAGAGAATTAATAATCCTCAATGAGGTCCTAAATATTTTTTGAACTCTTTTCTTTATATAGGCCGAACTTCATTTTTAAATATCCCTCTCGGGGTTGAAGAAATGCAATTTATAAGGTATATTGTTATAAATAGGCAGTCTCTCCCAACCCATTAACCCCAACCAAATTTTAAAAAGAGAATAGGTATACAAAAATGAAGTCCGGCCGCCCAATTTAACATTCGTAATTTAATTGTCTGGAATGAAACTCAAAAAAAGAATTTATTTTCTAATTAATTACTCATATCCCCGTCATCATCATCAACTTCCTCATTAACATCATCAACATTAATATTGTCATCTTTACAGTTAGTACAATACCATTTAGCAACATCGTCAAGATTAATATTCTTTCCAAGAATGCAAATAGTATGGAACCACTTAAGAATAAAAAAAGATTATAAAAGAATTACAGAAAAATTCCAAACCTTATCACAACCATCACAAGCCACCCAATTAATTTTCATATCCTTTGGACGTTTACAACTTGCAAGCTGACAAAGTTCTGGATCCCCTTCACCACCAGTCCAATCTTCCATTACTGTCGAGTCATCAGCTTCGCCATCAAAAGTTGTATTATTATCATTGTCGTCAGAATCTTCAGACGTTGAAACCTTCTTTTTGGCTTTTTTGGTGGTTGTAGTCTTTACTGTTGCTGCTGCTTTACGTTCTTTTTTGTTTCCAGCATCTTTTGCACGTTCAATAGCTAAATAATTTATTTAAAAAAAAACTCAAAAAATATAAAAACCTTGTTTAGAACCACCTCTGGAACGCCCCTTAGCTTCCTTTTCGGTAACAACAACATTTCCATCATTCTCCTCTTCATTATCCTCCTGTTCTTGTTGCTTCTTTGGCTTACGGCCACGTGTGGCTGTTGCAGCTGGTTTTTCCTTGTCTTTAGCTGTTGTTTTGGTCGTGGTTGTATTCTTCTCCTTAAAAATTTTAAATAAATTATTTAACTTTCTAGTTTTTGTAGAAAGTAAAATCATACAAAAAGTAAAATCATACCACGGCATTTTTCTTCCCAGCAACTTTAGTAGAGGTAGCAGCAACAGATTTATTTTCCTTAGCCTTAACAACCTTAGCCATTTTTGAAGGAGCTGCTGGAGTTCTTTTTGTAGGAGGGACAGGCTGATGTTTACGAGGTTGCGGAGGCTGAAGAACTTTGTTATCCAAAACATCTTCCTCATCGTCTTCTTTTTCAGAATCTTTGTCAACCTCCGTTTTCTTTTCTGGTCCATATTTTTCACGAACGCTTTTAACGATTTTCTTCTAAAAAATTATCAGGATTTTAAAAATTTAGAAAAAAAATTTCTTACAGTTTCATCAGTATCCGCATCGCTCAGTCTTTTGCATTCAGACTCATTCATCAAATAGTAAGTCGCAAGAGAGAGGTCAGAAATTTCATCAGAAGTGGCTGACTTATTAATAATCTTAAAAATATTGATTTTTACAGATTGAACATAGAGGTCGAGTTGGGGGGGGGGGTTTGGACCTTTGGATTTTTCTGTATGAGCCTAGAAACCCAGTACAGCCAGACATTTTTTAATTTTATTAGCCCGTATTCCTCCTGAACCCAAAGATATGAGTCTGGCCAAAGAGGGGCTCTCATCACTAACAAAAAGTTAAAAGGTGGGCCACCTTTTCTATAATTTAAACCCCAAATAAAAACCTGTTTCTTCTCCACGCCAGTATCACTATCAATACGCCTGGGCGGAACAGCAGAAGCAACCTCCTCGTGCTCATCAACAGACTCATCACCACTTTCAACTACTTTTTCATCACCACTTTCATCACTGCTCTCATCACTAATTTGATGAAGCATTTTGTGTCTCTTATTTTTATCGATTTTAAGCTGTTTGCGTTCATCCAGTCTCAATGGAGGCTTCTTTTTGTCCACATTTTTGTCCACCTTTTCTTTGGAAACTTTATCCTTTCCTTTGAGAATAGATTTTTGTTGTCGCTCTGCCATATATTGCCAAGAACCTTTAAGAATTTAATTAAATGAATTCTGAAAAAAATTAGAACGTCAATAAAAAAAGTAAATTTTAAATGAGAAAGTGAATATATGTTTACTCCTCATATTTAGATCATTTATATACTAACACTAAAAACTAATCCTTTTCTGATTGACATTATTTGCCAAAAGCAAAAAACAAAAGGGAAGAAGGGGGAAAAATAAAAAATGCCCCTAAAACTTGGGAAACTCAAGTAAAAGTTAAAGAAAATTAGGTCAGAAAACGTAAAAATGCCAGTTCCCTGTAGGCATTTTTTAAAATTTCCTTTGATTTCTTTCGCCTTAAATAACAAGAGAAAATGACAAAAAAACCGAAGCCAAACAGAACGCCAAAAAACCGCGTTTAAACAAAATTTAAACTCTAACCATTACGAATCTTTCCTTTACCCTTTTCATCACAATCTCTTTCAAAATCAATTAATCCACTCGTTTGAGAATCAGATGAAGATGAGGAATAATAGGAATCTTCATCATCCTCATCAATTATTTCATCAATTTCTTTATAAATTTTAAAAGTATTTTCCCTGGGTAGACAACAAAATTCATTTTTAACTATTCTAGGCATTCTTAACCACCTTTTTTCATCATTCCGAACTTTATTTTCATTATTATTATTTTTCCTAATTTTTAAATTCTCTATTTTTCTATATTCCAAGGTTTTTCGACGACTTTGACAACCTTCGTAAACTTTGAAAAAAAGATATTATAATAAAAAACCTCATTTTTAAATACCCTCAATACTAGTGTAAGGAAAAAGGAACTTTAGCTGGCTAGCACTTAAAATGCTATTAAAAGGGAAATTAAGACTATTTCATCTCCAGAGTAGCTCAATCGGTAAAGCATTTTGAGCCTGCCCGGCTCAAAATGAAGCCTGCCCGGGATACTCTTTCTTATTTTAGATATTACCCAGTTTAAGACATCTTTTTCAGATTAGGCTTAAAGATTGGGGAACTCCATAAGCGATACACTTCATTTTAAGCAAGTTTTTATAAGACTATTCTTTCAGTCTCACGAGTATTTCAAAACAAGGCTCTACATTATTTTTTAAATAAAGTTAAAATTTCTTTAAACTTACAATTTCCAGCAGTTAAATCGTTAAGTAGCCTTGCAACTTCATTACTTTTTCTAGCATGTTTTGCTGGAGGTTTTGATGATCCATCAGATTTTAGACTGGCAGAAGTAGAATGCCTTTTTCGAAAAATTTCACCTGCTAAAAAATTATGTTTTTTTAAAATAAGAAAATTAGAGATTCTTTTTTGAAATTTCCGTTAATTGAAAAAATCCGCAAGTTTTGTCTGCAAAAAATTTTCTGACCGCAAATAGATTTGCGGACATTTTTATATTCCATTTCCCTACCTTCCGCATCCATACGTTCATTTTCGTCATCTGTCTTTTTAATATCTTCCCCCCTCCTTTCTTTTTTATCCAATTCTTCTTCCCTTTCATCTTCATCTTCCCTTTTGGAGGGAGGGGATGGGACAGAACTATCACATTCCATAAGCCTTGTAATTTTAGATTCATCTATTGTTGTTGAATTATTAAGTTTTTGCTGGGGTGATGATGGTTGTGATGATATTACTGCTGCTTTTGTTGTTGAATTATCTGAGAGGGATATGAGTGAATTTTGTGACTCGTTATCTGTTGAAGGGATTTGTTGATTTTTCTTAAAAGAAAAAAATATTTAGGCCAAATTTGTATTTTTGTAGGGGGGTTTGATGATCCGTTTTTTGTGGCAAATCAACTTTCGGACTTTTGAATTAAAATAAGTTGAGAAAATCCTCAAGCTTAAAAAAATACCTCGTCAGCAACAGATCTGCTTTCACATGATCTGCTTCCACTTAATCTTCTATTCAACAAATTTTGTGGTAATTGTAAATCTTTTGTTGTTTTGTTTCCACCAACCACTTTATCTGCTGCAAACAATGCAGTTGTTAATGTACTTAAATTGGTTATGTTATTATTTTGATGTTGTTGTGCTGGGGTGGAGAAGGCACTAGAAGCACCGGAACTGTTTAATGAAGAAAGTGGAGAACTCAGAGAATCCTTTAAAAATATATATGTAATTGTAGAAATAAAACTTAATCTACCGCAAGAATTGTAAAATTTAAAGTTTATAAATAATCAACCTTAGAAGTACTAGCCATCGGTTCGTATTGATGTCTTGTAGCCGGAATCGCGCTAGGAGATTGAAGTAAAGACGAGGAAGCCGCCGAGGAGAAGCCAGAGGAAGAAGAGAAATTACTAGCACCACCATTTATTGAAGGTGTTGTTGAATTATTTAAATTATTAGAGGAGCTAATTGGGGTAGAAAACCGTTGGGCTAAGGAATGTTGTAAGGAAGGGGTTACTGAAATAGAGGAAGGAGTTCCCCTTGAAGAGGATGTAGCAACAGAAATTGGAATATTTATAGAAGTAGTAGAATCGTTATTGTTTGCCTGATGTTGTTGTTGTTGTTGGGCTGCGGAAATTGCGGCGGCTAATGCAGAGGCTATTTCTAAAATAAAAAAGTTGATAAATCTAGATAAAACATAATAAACTTAATTGTAAAACTTAATATTACAAACTTAAAGTTGCAAAATTACAATTGTAAAACCTCTAAAATATTTTCTTCTCAAAATTCACCTGGTATCCTCTGTAAGTCATTAGGGGTTGATGTAGCCCCATTCCCTCTTGCTGCAGCAGCGGCAGCAACAGCTAATATAGGCGATACTTTACTTGATGCTGGAAAACCCTCTCCAATATTTGGCCATCCATTGGAAGTTGCAACTTTAAAATTTATCAATTTTGTGGGAAAATTATTTATTCACCTTTAGCAGCAACTTGTTCAATATTTAATTGTGTAGAGCTAGTTGTTGGAGGCGTTAATGATGAAGAGGAAGCACCACGTGAAAGAGGTGTTACTCCAGCACTCGGCCTAAACCCTAACATTGAAGGGTGGTTTGCAGTATTTGAAGATGTACATGAGGAATAGGCTGCCGAAGCATTTGAAATATTCGAAAATTGGTTTTGACTGGGTTGTGCTGTAACTAGAAGACCGGCAGCCGCTGCAGCAGAAGTTGCTGCTAAATTATTTGTTGTTGAACTATGAGGGGGGACAGATGCGGCTGTTGGTTGTTGTGAAGGTAAAGAGAAAGCAGAAGGTGCCCCAAATAATGAAGATGCAACGGTAACAGAAGATGCTGAAGCAGCTCTTGCCTGTCCAACTGTAGCAGCAGCAAGCTGATTTTGTTGAGATTGCTGCTAAATTAATGGAAAAATAAACTTGAAACGGACAAGTTTGATTATTAAAAATACTTAAGTTTACAAATAAACTTTAAAATTACAATTTGTTTATTAATTATTTTTTAAATAAGTTTATTTTAAAGCTTCAAAAACAAACTTGTTTTACAATTAGAAAATAAACTTGAATTACAATTCTGAAAAACAAACTTATTTTACAACTCAAAAATAAACTTGAAATTTACAAATTGTAATTTAAAAAGGAAAAATTGTAAAAATACCTGCGCTTGTGGCTGATAAAGCGATACAGGTAAACGAAGTTGTAATTGATGAGCGATTGATGCTGCTTTCTGTTGTTGTTGTTGGGTCCAGTCTTGAGCCGCAGGTTGTAAGGAGGCGGCGCGGATATTTGGCCAAAGTGAGGCGGCTGCAGCGTATTGCTGTACTGCTGTTGGATTAGCAGCTGCGGCGGCGCTGATATCTGTGGAATTTTGGGAATTTTACACGTTATTTATTTCAAATTTAATTACCTATTCCACCTCCAAATCCAGCAGATAAGAAAGAAGCGGCTACAGCAGCAGCGGCTGATTGAAGAGCATGCCCATACATAAGAGGGTTTTGCTGTTGTAAAGAGTTTAAATTAAGCAAAGATTTTTGAAATTGTTGTTGAGCAGTTAGCCTTTCCATTGCTGACATTGCATCATGAGAGGCCATTAAAGAACGTAGCTGGGCATTTATCTTTAGAAAATTAATTAATTGAAGGGGGGAAATAAATTTTTAATTATAATTGTAAACTTGAAAATAAAATAAACTTGAAGTTTACAATTATGTAGAAAATAAACTTGGAAACAGAAAATAAACTTAATTTTAGTTTCAAGTTTACAACAATAAATAAACTTGTTGCTTGTTAATAATAGTAAGTTTGTAAAAACAAAATAAAAACTTAAGTTTACAATCAGAAAATAAACTTGCTTTTAATTTCAAGTTTGCAACAATAAATAAACTTGATCAAAGATTAAAATAAAATGTCTCATTAAAATAATTAGTACTAGAAAACATTAATTAACTTAAAGTCAATAACTTTTTAATATTAATTACTTTAATTTTCCCACACACCACGTATTAAAATATATTTTTTAAATAAAAAATTAGTCACCTGCTCTTCATTGGTGGCAGCTGTAACAGTTCCCAGGCCTAGTTGATTCAATGCATTTAATGCCTGCTGCTGCTGTTGGTGGTGGTGGTTGTTATTCGTCGTTATTTGTTGATTACGTTGTTGGGAATTATTAAGTGTTGATGTCGTTCCTCCAAGAGAATTGGCGGCAGTAGAGGAGGAATGTTGTTGCTGTGCATTAGTAACTGCCGTTGTTGCTGCAGCAAAGGCAGCCAAATGTGCCAATTGTTGCTGTTGATGGCTTTGTTGTGTGGAGGCGTTATTTTGTATTTGGGCTGAGTTTGGCAGGGAATTTGTGCCAGTAAAACCATTAATGCCGTTATGACTAATATTGCAAGTGACAGGAATGGTGGCAGAAATGGATGAGGGAGTGGAGAGCTATTTAATTAAAAAATAAAAAAATATATTGGCACATGACTTGTATATAAGATTTTGTTGGTAGTAAAATACAGAATTAAATAACACTTAAGTTTAAATATTTTACAATCTCAAGTTTGTAAAATAAGTTTACAATTACAAATTCAAGTTTTAATTAAAAATAAAATTCAGCATTTTCAAAGTAAGTTTATAAAGCTGATCCAAGTTTATTTAAATTAATCAGCATTTTCAACTAATTACAATTACAAATCAAAGTTTATTTAAATAACTATTAAATATACAA